GGCGTTTCAGGGCTCCCCCCTTCGGCGCCGCGCAAAGTGGCTTCGAACATCCTCCAAGTCTCTCAAAGTCCTTGGGACGCCCCAGAAGTCTTCCAGCTCCCCTAGAATGCCCGTTTCAGCTCGCCACCCCCCCCAACTAAGTCTGTCTTAAAATCGGTTTCAACTACCCCACGAAAAAGTGCGGTTTCGTAGTCCTCAAAAAAAGTCAGTTTCACACGCCCTCCAAAAAAGAAAAAAACTGAGCGGGGGAGGGGCTGCGCTGGGGCGCCCGCTTCACACCCGGCCTCCAGTTGGCAGACAAAGAGGGGATTTCTCTGCTGCTTAAGTTGGGTCTCCCTCGACCTCGGAGGCCCCTCCCCACCCCCAGCCTCGGAGGTATCTCCCGGACTGCCGTCCCCACCTGGGGACCCCTGGGGAAAGTCGAGACTGGAGGGGCCTGGAGTGCATTTCTTTGGGACGGAGATTTTTCTCTGTACCTTTTTCTGGGGGTGGAATGGGTCCTGGCAGGTGGATCCCCCATCCGCCATTCTAGAATGGCGGGGGCACCCTGCTCTTGGGACCCTCTCCCCGCTCAGGGAGGGCGGGCGAGGGATGTTGTCAAAGTTTTGCTTAAAAATAATTCCCGGATACATCGTGACAGTAAAGCAACCTAGGGTTGTTTTTTTTCTTTTTTGAACGCTGTTAGGGTTTTTTAGGGGGAGGGAGATTGAGGGTGGAGGGAAGCTTTACTGGTCCCTGCATAGAGTGTGCCCCCCCACTTTAAGTTGTGAAGCTTGTAAAAGAGTTTCGTGGTTTTCTGACTTGTGGATTTCCTTCTTGTCGAATTTGGGGGCGACCTTGTCTTCAACGGGCTGTGACGTCTGGGTGGAGGGATCACCAAATTTCCCTCGGAGTGGGGTAGGGCCGGGCTGTTCCTCCTCTTCCCAGGGGAGTAGGGGGGCCTCAGAGGAAACCCGGGGGTGGGGAAAGGAGAGGTTCTGGCTGCCCTGCGTGCAGTTTAAACTTGGCAACTTGATGCCCTGGTGGTCTCTGGGGGAGTTAGGGAGTTTATATTTGCACACCCTCCCCCCATTTTTCAGACTCCCGGTGGCCTCTGGGGAGGGCTCTACAGGGACCCAGACTCTGGAATTCCATCTTCCCTGCCCCTGCTCCCAGGGCTCCGCTGGAACTCAGACCCCAGTGCAGTTGAGGGTTTTTTAGGCGGCTTCCCCACTCTGTGTTTTGGCCACTCACACCTCTTTTCTCCTCCCTGTTTCTCCCTGTCCATCTGTCTCCACGTCCACCATGCAGGGTTTCCAGGCCTGAGGTGCCCGCCCTGGCCCCAGGAGAATGAACCAGCCGCAGAGGATGGCGCCTGTGGGCACAGACAAGGAGCTCAGTGACCTCCTGGACTTCAGCATGGTGAGCCAGGACCCCCGCCCAGCCCCCGACACCCCTTTGCCCCACAGTTCTTGGGAAGGTTTTCAGGGGACAGTGTTTGCTGAATACGTCAGCGATGGAGCCTCAGCTGTTTGGATGAGAGGCTCCGGTGGGGCTGGGGGTGTGCGTTGCTCTGGCAGGAGGCTGACACCGCACGGCAGTGGGTGTGCCATGGGGATCTCACCCGGACGCAGCATGCTACAGTCTACTACTGTACAAATGGGGAAACTGAGGCCTCAGGGGTGTGGTCCTGGGCCCCCAGCTTGGCTGGGTAAGCCAGCTCCGGCCTTGATCTTCTGATCTGTAAAATGGACCTGATCAGGGTCGCTTCCTCCATTGAAAATACAAAAATTAAAAGTTAAGTAAAAGGTCACTGCGCTCCAGCCTGGATGACAGTGAGACCCTGAAAACCTTGTTTCAATAATTGGAAGGGGGCTGGGCACAGTGGTTCCCCCCTGTCATTCCAGCACTTTGGGAGGGTGAGGCGGGAGGAT